TTTTATCAATAGGCCCTTTGTGTAAGCTTTTCGAGAATGGTGGGCCTATGTTTGTCGGCCCTCTTGCATATAATGTTAAAAAGGCATAGATATGTTCCCACACAGAAAAGCCCATATTGTCATGTGGGAGACACTAAAAGCCCATCATTACTGTAATTTCTGTCATTTTACTTCTTTTTTCATCACAATGGAGCACTGTTCTTTAATCATAATACGGCTTTGAAGATTTTGTATACAGAAAATCTTGTTATCACATGAGCTGCTTTTTCCATCTTCATAAAATCATTTTTTGTATCGGTTTAAAATTTTCATAAAAATTAGAGTTCAATTTCTTTTCCAGGCTCCTAATTGAAATATTTAGTTTCCAAAGGAAGGCAACAATTTGAATATAATAAAATCCTATTCCAAACCAAATTCGATACGATCATCAACCTCAAACGCCAAAGCAATAATTAACATAATCGCAGCTCAAACGCCAAAGCAATAACTAACATAATCGCACAAACTATCAGAGCTTGACGCAATTTTCTAGTAAATATATTCAAATCTTCGTTGCACTACAACTCCAGCATATATCTTCGTAGATTCAGAATGTGCAGTTGACGTTTTCATTTCAATTTAATACCTAAATAATGATATATGCAACAAAAAGCAAGTAGATCCTCATGGGTCAATCACCTTTTAGCACAGAAAGGGCAAAAGGCTATGTAATATCTGATAAACATTAACGATATATGAAAACTGAAACAAATTGGTGTTTCTTATTGCTTCGTTAGCAGCAGCACAGCAGCAGCAACAATAATAATGATAATAACGAAAACGAAAATAAAAAGGAAAAGAGAAGCGCTGTACGGGCAGGATCAGCTAATTCGTTCTCAGACCCATTTTACCTACAGAGAGATTAAACTGTGACCCTGAGACATCTCCTAGCTGAGACGACAGACCTACTAAGTAGTTTTAGCCATTTAATTTAACATGGGAGGAGGCTTTTACAACCTTTCACCATCTCAAGAAGCTATCGAGTTTCG